CCCCCCCAAATTTCAGCCTGAAATTCCAAAATGAAATTCATCTGCACTTAGAAATTTGTTTTTAAAATCCAAGATGGCCGCCCCAGAGACCCATTTTTCAGAAAAAGTCAACAAATTCACCCTTAATACATCCCTTTAACCTAGATTCTACAAACCTCTTGCACAATTACATGTAAGTGAATGAAAGTCATTCGTTTAGAAAATTTTTCTGGGAGTGTTCATCTCCCAGGGCTGAGGCTGGGGGTGGGTTTGCGACAAAAATATGTCAAACTATTGAAAATTCAAAGTTGTGATTTTTTACTTCTTTGATTACCCTAGGCTATCTATATTTCATATTTATTGTTTCCATGGAAAGTGTTTATATAATGTTCTGGAAGCCTCATAATTTGCCCTTATGGTGCTCCTAAAAGGGCACTGAGAGTGTACTCTGTGCCACAATAATTATGTTTATCCCCCGTAGAACATACAGGTAAATTTAATGTCCTGTTATTTGAACATAGACATTGCCGGAAAGCTTGAGTATTGAAGATTCCGATTATCGAAGGATACTAAAATAAACGAGCAACTACTCGGAAGGGGAATCCCCCTACGCAAATGCACTTTCTTTGTTTTGATTGGGTTGGGTGACCATGTGGTTGGCCTCGTTTTTTTCCCTGTGCTCTTTTGGGTTCCCGAAGACTGTTGTTCGGCCGGTTCCGGCGTCACGGCGCTTGCGCAGTGTAAAGTTTGTTACTTCCGTGTTCCAGTCTCGAATGTAAACAGACAGACCCCAGCAACGAAGAAGAACGAGGAGAACAGGAAAAGGAAGAGAAGGTAGGAAAAACCTATGAAGGTGGGGAATTCCCTGGGGGCGTCTAAGACACTGTTGCTATTGTTGCTATGAAATAGATAGTTACTCTTTATTCCAATTCCACTGTAAGAGTTTGTTTTGGGGTCTGTTTTGTGGGTGGAGTGGAGTAGCCTTCTAGTGAAAGTGAAAGTAAAAGCTTTTAGTCCCCCGTCCAGACGAAATAACCCGTCATTAACTGCAACAGAAATTATTTCGACATGAAGTGGAAGAAAAGGGTGATCTAAACGCCCACCATAAATTACACTAAGGTGTGGCTTTTCTGAGATATCGGTCTTTTTCTACCGATCAATTTCTGTTAAAACCCTCGAAGGTTTCCATATCTAAAAAGACGTTTGTTTTTGTTTTGTTTTTGTTTACATCCGGGCATTCCTCGGGAACTGATGCGTTTTTCCTGGAAACCGAGACACCTTTTCCTCCTGTGACTCACTTAACGTGAAAAGCTTATTGACGCATTTTCACATTCATTTAAAGCCAGGTTTGTCATTCTGTGTAGTATGCAACTTTAATATGAGTTATAGAAATAAGCTACGTCCAAAGAATTGCTGTGTTATCACATGTACGTTTTAAAATCAACAAAAACACTCAGACACCTGTGCCAACACACACACACACACACACACACACACACACACACACACACACACACACACAGAGGTGTGCCCGAAAGTATGGAAACCCGTTATGGTTAAAGAACAAAAGCGAGTTTCTATGAAATACTTATTTTAGTAGATCAATAGGTCTGTATGTTTAGATCTGCTTAGATCTAGATCTATGTCTAATTTAAGTACATGTAGAAATAACTTGAGTCTAGATCTAGACATCTCAGTCGTTCTTTGTCATACTAGCTTTCGGCATTGTATTGTTTGTATGTG